AATTGATCCAAAGAAAATTAAATACTTAGGTATACAATTAACTAAACATGTACAGGATTGGTATGCCGAAAATTACACAATTCTGTAGAACGAAATCAAAGACGACCTCCATAAATGGACAGACATACTTTATCGATGGATTGGAAGACTCAAAATAATAAAGACGTCAATTCTTTCCAAGTTGATCTATAGCTTTAATGCAATTCCTATCAAAATCCCAGCAACATTTTCTAGACATAGACAAACTTAATAAAACCTTTATATGAAAAGGCACAAACTCTAGAATAGCTAAAACAATCTTGACAAAGAAGAATAAATTTGGAGGAATCATTCTAACTGATATTAAGTGCTACTATATAGCTGTAGTAATCAATACAGTGTGGTATTGGTGTGGGAAAAGACATATAGATCAATGGAATAAAACAGAGAATCCAGAAATAGACCCATCTAAGAAAAGCCAACTTATTTTTGACAAAGATGCAAAAGTAATTCAATGGAGGAAAAACAGCCTTTTCAACAAATGGTGCTGAAGCAATTGCAGTATACTTAGGTTAAAAAAATGAACACTGACCTAAACCTCACATACAAAAACTAATTCAAAGTGGATCGTGGACTTAAATGTAAAACATAAAATTTTTTTAAAAAATAGGATAAAATCTTCTGAATCTACAGCTAGGCAAAGAGTTCTCAGATTTGATACCAAAAGCATAGTCCACACGAAAAAAAAACCTGATAGATTGGATCTCATCAAAATTTAAAATATTTGCTCTGCAAAATATCCTGTTGAAAGAGAAGCTACAGACTGGGGGAAAATATTTGCAAACCACATATCTGACAAAGGACACATATTTAGACTATATAAAGAACTCTCAGAACTCCACAGGCAAAAACTAACCCAATAAAAAAATGAGCAAAAGACAGAAACAGACATTTCACCAAAAAGGATATATGGATGGCAAATAAGCACATGAAAAGATGTTCACAATCAGCCATCAGGGAAATGCAAATTAAAACCTCAAAGAGATATCACTACATACTTATCAGAATGGCTAAAATAAAAAAAAAGTGACACCACCAAATGCTGGTGAGGACATGGAGAAACAACCACTCATACATTTCTGCTGGGAATATAAAATAGTACAGCTCCTCTGGAAAACAGGTGGTCAGTTTCTTTTAAAACTAAACATGCAATTACCATATGACCTAGCAATTATACACTTGGGTATTTATCCCAGAGAAATGAAAAGTTAACGTTCACACAAAATCCTGTAAACGAATGTGCATAGCAGTTTTATTTGTAATAGATAAAAGTGGAAACAATCCAGATGTTCTTCAATGGGTGAATGATTAAATGAACTGTGGTATATCCATACCATGGAATACTACTCAGCAACAAAAAGGAACAAACTATCGATGTATGCAACTGTGTAACAACCTGAATGAATCTCCAAGTTAACTATGCTGAGTGAAAAAAAGCAAATGGCAAAAGGTTACATACTGTACAGTTCCATTTACATAACACTCTCAAAATGACAAAATTATAGAGCTGGAAAACAGCTTAGTGGTTCCCAGGAGTTAGGAACTGGGAGGAGGGTAGGAAGGAGATGAGGTATGGTTATAAAATGGCAACAGGAGTGATCCTTGTGGTGGTGGAACCGTTCTGTAAGTTAACTGTGGCGATGAATACATGAACGCACTTGTGTTAAAATCGTATAGAAACTAAACACACACACCCCCACACACAGACACGCTATGCCCACAAAATGTAACATTAATATCAATAACCCATATGTAAAAAAGCAACAACAACAACAAAAAGCCAGGAACCTGTATCATATTTTTCCTTATTTATAAAAGGAGATTCACAAAGATTTTGTTATATATCCCATAAGAATGTCAAGGATCTATTACACAGTGATATCCTTACTTACTCAAGGAGAAAATGAGAGAATTTTCTAGAAAACCAAAGCTAATCTCTTAAAAATGATAAAATTTTTATTGTAATCATTTTTAATACTCATCTTTCTAAAATGTGTTTCAAATCCCCCTACCTTTTCAAGTTGAGGATAGAAAATATAATTTAACTTTTGCCTGAAGAGACCGGAACATAATAATGATCATCAATTGTTATACTGTGCTATAACACAGTGGTGTCGTTGAGGGATCCTCTGGTATGAAAAGCCATCTGCCCCTACACTAGTAATGGCCCAAAGCTTGGTGATGCCATCTACTCCTCCTGGTAGTTTATCAACTAGCACCTAAAATAGCAGCATATTAGAGACCAAGGGGACTTTTGAGATCACCTAGTCCAAACCCTTCCTATTTTGCTAACAGTAAAACAGAGGCCCAGAGAGGAGACATATCTTGCTCAGTATCACACAGCAAGTTGAAGGGTAAAGACAGGACTATAACCCTGGTCTTGGTATGATTCTCAGCGTGCCTGCCTCTAGCAAATACCCCCTTCCTATTTGCTGCTTTAAACTACTACGGTAGAAAAACCAGAAAATAAGGTTGTCAGAAACACGTATGAAACAAGGCTTTTGATTTAAGTCAGCGGGTCCTGGGTGATGATCTCTCATATAAAGTAAATCTCTGTGACAGCTATTTTGGCCCTAGTCCCTTTCACAAAATTCCAAGTTTGTGGCCATGATCCAAAAGGTTAAGGATGCCATAGTCTGTCTGGGGCTAAGTGAAGTACTATTATTCCTGTTTACCCATGTTCATAGCATCTATTATAGGCAAATGGATTTTTTGTACATTCCTCCACTGGATGCTCCCAGGGATCTTCCTGCTTACTATTACATTAATAACCAGCTACCTCTTCCAAGTAAATGAAGACACATAGAACATTATCCCAGTTCACCTCTTCCTCCATGCTCTAACGGGCAATAAGAGGAACATATAGCGGAGTCCTACTTGTCTGTTTTATTTTTTTTTAATTTTATTTATTTATTTTTCCCCCAAAGCCCCAGTAGACAGTTGTATGTCATAGCTGCACATCCTTCTAGTTGCTGTATGTGGGATGCGGCCTCAGCATGGCCGGAGAAGCGGTGCGTCAGTGCGCGCCCAGGATCGGAACCAGGGCCGCCAGTAGCGGAGCGCACGCACTTAACCGCTAAGCCACGGGGCCGGCCTACTTGTCTGTTTTAAAAGAAACCTTCCACCACCAATCTTTTACTTTATCACTTTGAGAAGTTCCAAAAATGAAACTGATGAGATCAGAAATTGAAAACGAGGTGATTTCCTCTGCACTCAAAATGTGTCAGTTCACTGGGGCTGGCCCGGTGATAGTGGTTAAGTTCGCACGCTCCCCTTCGGCGGCCCAGGATTCACAGATTCAGATCCCGGGCGCGGACCTACACACCACTCATCAAGCCATGCTGTGGCGGCATCCCACATAAAACAGAGGAAGATTGGCACAGATGTTAGCTCAGGGTCAATCTTCCTCACTAAAAAAAAAAAGTGTCAGTTCAGTCATTAGAAACTATAAACTTTGATTGTCATAAAAAGTAGAGAAATCGGGGGCGGCCCGGTGGCACAGTGGTTAAGTTCGTGCACTCTGCTTTGGTGGCCTGGGGTTCACAGGTTCGGATCCCAAATGCAGACCTGCACACCGCTTATCAAGCCATGCTGTGGCAGGCATCTCATGTATAAACTAGAGGAAGATGGGCACGGATGTTAGCCCCGGGTCAATCTTCCTCAGCAAAAAGAGGAGAATTGGCAATAGATGTTAGCTCAGGGCTAATCTTCCTCACCAAAAAAAAAAAAAAGTAGAGAAATCAGAGGCCTTGAAATATCAAAAAGTACCTTTCAGAGGGTCAGAGTATGGCTGTCACTATATTCAAGTCAAGTACTATTCATAAACACACAAGAAAGTTGTCAAACATTTATTCCTGGTTTCATTAAAGTATATGACCTTTCAGTTGAGATCATCTTCTTTTATAAATCTGTCTACACTGGCTCTAAACAAAATCAGTTATACCTTTTTCATACTGAATGTCATTTAACATTATGCAAATTACAATCTATATCTGACATTTCAAAGGCTGTCCTTTTGCAGAAAATCATAGAAAAGTAACTGTGTATTTATGGGAGAAAATGCTAGTTACCTGAAAGAACATAGTTTAAGAAATCAACCACAAGGTTCCAAACTTTCCACGGGCTCAAGTCACACTTACCTCTGTGTCACAACAAGGATATGTAAAATGACAGAGCATATCCTGAAGAACCTCTAGTGTCTTGGATTTTAAGTGTTAATTACTATTAAAGTGCCTGACAATCTAATGTTGTAAATCTCTTGACTAACTACTTAAATGATTGTACTAAACTATGTGATTGTTACCTTTCAGCCTATCAACCACATCATCTAAAAAAATAAACTATTCCAATTGTTTTAAAATAATGAATTCTCTAAGAAGGAGACACTTAAAACATTCTTAGTTCCCACCGTTCTCTCCTGATTTACAAAAATATGTCCCCAAATTGAGTGTTATGACCACTCAATTTTTTTATTCAGAATTATAATTTTCCATTTTGCTACAATGAATATTATCTAAGAAGAGTTGGAAGAACACTAAACTAGGATTAAAAAACCCTGGGTTTTAATCTTGGGCTCCACCCCTATATCTAGCTTAAGTGTGGCCCTGACATTTCTCAAGCCATGAGACCTTCAGCAAATTAATCTCTTTGAGCTCCACTGAGGATTCTGTAAAAAATGCAACTAATACTATCTGCTCTATCCTAGCATAGGATTGTTGTAAGGATCGAATAAGATAGTGTATTTAATTTAAAAGAGCTTGGTAAATTGTAAGTCATTAATGTAAGATATTATTATTATCTAAACAGAGAAAACTGAAAGTTAATTTTAAAAAAGGCAAACCAGCATATCAATTAGACTTGTAGCAGCCAATGCCATACAAATCCTTACTATGGGCTTCTTCTGAAGATGTGTGAATAAGAAGTCATTAACTTAGTTTATTCTAACTAAATACTTTTCATACCTTGCATAACAAAATATTTCCACATGTTGAATGGTTTTATCCTTCCTGCTAAGAGCAACGGCTTCTTCATTTTCAAGGATCTGCTCTTGCCATGCAGAGCTTTCATTCACAATGTCACCATTTTCCTAAAGAAAATACAGATGAGAAATTTTAATTAAATTGAGCAATCTAAACCTCTACTTTTCTGAGAAAATTTATGCCTTTCTAAATTCACACTTTTCCTTTCATCTCATCAAAACTCAAAGGAGGATATCACTTCAGAGTCACTGAAGCAACTCCAGCATAGTGTGCCAACTTGAAAGGAAGGAAAAGAAAACAATGCATAAAAATCTATCCTATCAAAAGCTAGCTCTGGTTTACAGATTTCTATCAGGATATGTGACATTGTGATGCTGTCATTTGGACATGGCTGTTTTGACTTGCTTAAGAACTAGGACAACTAACCATCTGCTGAGAACCAAGCATGTCTGTTGTACATATTACTTATCAATAATAAAGTTTTTACATTTTGCTGTCAAAACAGTAGGCTCAAAATTACTTCATTCTTACTTACTTTCAGATCTTTGAAGGTTTGTCACTAGCCATGAAAATTTTGATTATATGTAAAAGTATTTTTGAAAAGTACTCAGACCAATATAGCTAAGGACTTTATAATAATCAACCCCTGAACATTTTATATTCAGAAAGACAATAAAAATAAGAATATATAATAAAACGTAATCTCACTAAGGGTTGAAAGTGGTTCTTTAAAATTTTCAATAATTCCTAATTATATTTTATGGAGAAAATTTTTATGATATAGCAATATTTGAATACAGGGGTTTTTTGAAGATGTCAAGATATACTTTTTCCAAATGTCAAGGATCAACCTTTAATCTGTTTAAAATTTTAATCTACTTCACACATATCTCTCAGAGAAACAATTTTAAGAATGTTTTATATATATTCAAAAACTAGTAGTAAAATATAACTACAATATCCTTTAAGTAAATTCATCTCAGAAAATTTCTAAACTCACAGATTTCATAAAGTATGGCAATAATTATTTTTAAAAGACTTCATTCTCCTGAATTTAACATTTAAACTGAAGAAAAGTAGTGGCAGATGCCTCTTATTATCAAGTATAATTATTAGATAGTATTAAACATCCCAACATAGGTAGAAGAGGAGGTAAAGTACAGCAACTTTGAATGTATAGACATAGAGTTACAAGCCTGAAAAAAGAACTCTGGACCAGGGACAGAGAGTGAAGTGGAAAAAGATATGGTGACAGAGTCAAGATGCTAGAGTAAAAGAAGCATTAAAAGAAATGTCTACAAAAATATTTTTATTTTAATAAATCTAACCCATTACCAAATTTTATTTTTTAAAAATAACTTCACTCACCAAAAGTTTCCCATTCAGACAACTATTGTATTTTTGTTGTTGTTCTGAGATTCTAGACTAAATTTTCTCATGGAAGTACTAAATATGCTTCAGTATAAGGTGACACTTACACATACTTCCCAAGGATAAGATACAAAAAAGGGATTCTGATCAACATAACTATATGAGTGTTTAAGGCATATAGATAAAACAGTTAAATGTCTACTTATAACACTTACTTTCTTGATTTATACAGAGCTTGATTTATTATATGAAATGCTACTTTACAAATATTGCTTGTTTCTCCAAACTCTCATTTCATGTAATGCTATTATTATTCAAACTGAATGTCCACTGCATCTTCAACATCAATGTCTTTGGCATCACTAGAGGCACTTTTTGAATCATGTAGACCATAAAATCAATCAGTACAACTACAATGCTTAGTGTGGTGCTTGGCACATGGTAAGTGCTTAATAAGTTTTAGCTAACTGAATATAATTTTCTAGAGTATATCATCCTCCTTTCCCAACTGTCTAAACTCTTTTGACCTATAACAGTTTCTGTTTTCATGTATGATTGTCTCAGTAGGAATTTCATTCCAAGTCTCATGTACTATTTATGTAAAATTAGGACAGTTTTTTTAATCTGTCTCATAAGAATTGGTAAACTCCATGACATTACCAACTCCCCATATTACTATGCTCTAAATGACCTCTAAAAAACTTCTTTACAATGATATCCAACAGTTGTAGTAGTAAGATCCTACCCTTAGAAAAAAATTCATAAATTTGTATTAAATTTCTTTGCTTTTTGTTTTTACTGGTTCTGTCAGGTGACTTCTATAAATATGCAAAACTACCAATGACTGAGATCATTTCAAGTTAATGTATCTTCCCCAAATAGTTTTTTCAAAATATACTAACTGAAAGAGCAACTAGTAATATGTGAGATTGTATAAGGACTGAAATATTTTTTCTGAAAGACTATTTTGGGGAAAAAATATTGCCTTATATTTGGGCAAAGAGAATAACCATGAAATGGTATCAAGTATATATGATTTACTCTTCAGCCAACATATCTATTTATATTTAAAAAGTAATATCCATATTGTGAAGGCACTGGAAAATATTAGCTGAAAAGGTGACTGCACTATTTTTGTTAAATAAGTAAATAAAAATGAGGTCTCAATCCCATATTACAGATGAAGCTTAGAGGTTTCTTCAATGCAGGGTTATTATGTGGCACAAAATACAATCTAGTAGATTAAAAAAAATGAGATAAGAACTTTACCTGGTATTCCTTTAGCCAGGACAATAGTCCTGAAAAGCTAAAACTGGCCCAGTTTCCTCCATAGTAGCTTCTTCTGTAACAATAAAAAATAAGGGTAAAGAAAAGGGTATAAAAATCAAGTCACCAATCTTCAACAAAACACCCTTGACTCTTCAACTCATTTCATTTTCAATATTGCTGCCTCAGAGTTCAAAAGCACACATAATTGGGATGTTGAGATTAGAGGAAATAGTAGGCTAAAATAAATAGAAGTGGATCTCTCAGACCCCAAATGTAACTTTTCATTGTATAAGGACTTAAAAAAAATCTCTTGCCTCCTTACAAGTGCCACTGATCATGTGATTGTGAACAGCTTGATATGGAGACGGAGCAGGTAATGAACAAATCTGACTCCTGTTAACAAAAATGGCTGGGAAGAAAACCTTGGTAGATCTCAGAGAAAGCTACTGGAAAAACTGCTAAGTAGTTTTTTTCTAAAAGCAGTTAAATATTCAACACCACCACCACCACCACCACCACCACCACCAAATATCTCTCTCATGACAAAAAAAAAAAAAAATGTGTATGTGTGTGTGTGTGTACATACATACGTAATTGGCTACTCTAGATCTAGTGGAAGGCCCTGTGCTATTCTTTGCCTTCAGTGCAAAATATAAAAGTAGATCCTGGGATGTAGTTATTCACATCAAGACTTTTCTGATAACCATAACAAGAACAATATTCCTACTGATAATTGAGTGAACTATTATTCATCATTTCACAGTCCTGTGAAGATCACTCTGTTTTAGAGAACCCAGAGGTCTCCTAACTAGGATCAGGTAAACCTTGTAGACGTTGAACTTCTGATTAACTTCCTTAAGTAGGAGATTTTTGGCAACAAGAACTCTCTAATTCTGTAATACATATTGGGCTTCCCAATCCTTGGAAAACTCTTCACGCTTATTGATTCTTTGTATAATGAGCCCCAAAGTACACTCAATCCCACCTACAACATCCACTCTGGTTTTGGGTGGGAGAAAGTCTTGATTTTGTTTTCATTTTCAGTTTTGCTTCTCTGTGTCTTTCTCTAATAAAATAAAAATCTATAAAAGCTCTTTTTAAAATTAAACAGAGGGGCCAGCCCAGTGGCACAAGCGGTTAAGTGCGTGCGCTCCACTGTGGCAGCCTGGGGTTCGCCAGTTCGGATCCCAGGTGCGCACCGACGCACCGCTTGTCAAGCTGTGCTGTGGCGGCGTCCCATATAAAGTGGAGGAAGATGGGCATGGATGTTAGCCCAGGGCCAGTCTTCCTCAGCAAAAAGAGGAGGATTGGCTGATGTTAGCTCAGGGCCGATCTTCCTCACACACAAAAAAATTAATTAATTAAATAAAATAAAATTAAACAGAAACTAAAACCTTTAATATGATATCCAAAATTACTCATCCATAATGATACTAGATATCCTCTCGAAATTCTTTTTTTTTTTGTGAGGAAGATCAGCCCTGAGCTAACATCCATGCTAATCCTGCCTCCTCTTTTCTGCTAAGGAAGACCAGCTCCGAGCTAACATCAATGCCAATCCTCCTCCTTTTGTTCCCTTTTTCTCCCCAAAGCCCCAGTAGATAGTTGTATGTCATAGCTGCACATCCTTCTATTTGCTGTATGTGGGACGCCGCCTCAGCATGGCCGAAGAAGCAGTGCGTCAGTGTGTGCCTGGGATCTGAACCCAGGCCGCCAGTAGCAGACTGCGTGCACTTAACCGCTAAGCCACGGGGCTGGCCCCTCAAAATTCTAACATACTCCTCAATCAATTGTTGACACAGGCCTGAAGAACAGTCAGCTTTTAGGCTCAAATATTTTACTAACAATCACTGCTTTGCTCTAATAGAGAAAATGGTTAAATTGAACACCTGTGAAAGGTCTTCTACCATAGATCAATACTTTACTTATAATCTGATAGTTCTCTCAGAGATAATGTAAATTCATACACTGTCCAGAATCTCTAGTAGGCTTTAAAATTTAGCTAGAATTTCAGCTATACTAATAATTCTAGATGGCCATCCCTTGCTAACATATTGAAATCAGGAAGCCTAGAAGCTGTGATCTCTTGGATCAGAGAGAAAAGTGGAAGGAGGTGGACAACAGCCAGTAGAGAGAAGAGGGAGGAGGAAAAAAAGAGGGATGTTAGAATTAGTATTTTTCCATAGCAATCTATACTCTCTTCTCCCTTGCCTGAGAATAATATATTTCTGCCATCGCTTCCCATCCTCTAAATCGAACACTCAACTAAACTAGAAAATATCCTGGATGTTGAAAGAATAAAACAAACCTGAAACCACTGTCTTTATTTGAGATATTTAGATTTCTTTTAAGCCACCATAAGGTCATAAGCAAGAAGCTCTAATGGGTGAAAGCTTTGAGATCTAAGTAATTTTTTTTAATGGATACACCCATTTATAAGTTATATAAATATACATCAGAAATCTGACATTGGGGGTAGACAAAGGTTTCTCATACAGGACACAGAAAGCAATAAAAACTATTGCTAAGTTAGAATTCACCAAAATGAAAAACTTCTCCACAAAATATATCATTAAAGAAAAGTGAATGGGCTAGGCACAAACTAGGGGAAAATATTCACGAAACACATCTGACAAAGAACTGGTATCCAGGACATATAAAGAACTCTTTCAACTTAATAATAAGACAAATATTCAAGTTTTAAAATGGGCAAAGGGTTGGAGAAGACATTTCACAAAGGAAGATAGATGTGGTTAAAGAGTACATGAAAAGGTGCTCAACATTGTTAAGTCATTAGGTAAGTACACATTAAAATAAGCATTAAAAATGAACATAATGAGATACCACTACAGACCCACCAGAATAATTAAAATTAAAAAGACTGACAATACCAGGTGTTGGTGTGGAAGCCCAGAATGTTCATACATTTTGACGGGAGTGTAAAATGATACACTTTGGAAAAATGTCTGGCAGTTTCTTACAAAACTAAACATATACCATCCCTATGACCCAGTAATGCCATTCCTAGGTATTTACACACGAGAAAAGCATATGTTCACAAAAGACTTGTACAAATTTTTTCATAGCAGCTTTATTCATTATAAACTCCAAACAGGTAACAATTCAAATATCCAACAATGACAGAATGGATAAATAAGCTATGTTATATCCATAAGATGGATATTATTCACCAATGAAAAGGAATAAACTACTGATACATGCAACAACATAGATGAATCTTAAAAACGTTATGCTAAGTGAAAGCTTTACCCAAAAAGCGTACATTCTGCGTGATTTCATTTATATGAACTCCTAGAACAAGCTAAATTAATCAATCTATGGTGAAAAATATCCCAAGAGTGGTTGCCTTTGAGGGTGGGAGCAAGGGCAGGACTTGACTTTGAAAGGGCATGAGGGAACTTTCTAGAGCAATGGCAATGTTCTTTATCTTGATAAGGTTCTTAGTTACACAAGTGTTTGCATTTGCCACAACTTATTAAATGGTACACTTAAGATCTGTGCAATTTATCTTGAATTTTATCTTGAAAAAAAGAACCATAAATAAATACTGAACTCTAGTTTATGATATGCATGCTGAAGTGTTCCAGACCGAAGGTACTGGATGTGTGCAATTTTGAAATGCATAAATCAATAAGATGGAATGATGGATGGATAAAAGAATGACTACATGGGTAGTTACGTAATAAAACAAATATAGCAAATATGTTAATGGCAGAATCTAGGTTGCGGATACCTAGGTATTCATAGTACAATTTTTTCAACATTTCTGTATGTGTGAAAATTATCATAATAAAATGTTAGAAAAACAAAAGTAATATAACATGAGTTTTCAAACACTGACCATGATGTGCCAATTTCCAAGGTATTTTTTACTATTATCAAAAGCCTAGAAAAAGTCTAAGGAGGGCCATCTTGCTGTTTCTTTCCATTATTAAATGACCTGAGGTCAGTTCATGGTCAAAATCTATTTTTCTCCCCTATACTTGGTCATATGGTTTTTGACAGAGCTAATTGGTTCTAGTATTTTTACATGCAGCTCCCATTTTCAACTTTTCCTATTGATGTGCTCTTAACATCAGCATCTGGTGATCTCATCCAATTATGTACGTAAAAGGTGAAACATGGTTTTCATTACTGTGGTCTTTCTGACAAAAAAGGGTAACATAATTATTAATAAACTCACTATAAAACCAGCACAGGTTTTGACTAAATTCATTTTGGTATTTGTATGGTTCTAAATATGGTTTATAATATCCCTTAAAGAGAAAGCCAAGAACTTTAGATATCAAAATCAATATGATAAAAAGAAAAAGAAAAAAATCAATGTAACATTCTAATATGCTCTCTTGAACATTATTGCAATAGAAATCGTAAAAATTAAAGCCCACAAAATATTTTCTTAAATTTTATCTTTAAAGATACAGCTTCAGAATTCTGACATTCAAATTCAATTTATAAAATACTATTTCCACTGTCTTTAAAACTGTTTTTGTAGGGAATAACAAGGCTACATTACTGGTTTTATTTTTAAAATTCTATAGATACAATTTATTTTAAGGACAAAGTGAGAACTTCCTGATTGAGAAAAAAAGGGAAATGGAACGTTTTCTGCCAATTTTGTGCCACAACTGCCTTTGTACATCAAGTAAAGGAAAAAATAGTTTATGATGAAGGATGATGTTTGTCTCTATTGCCAGAACACTATTTCATACGATAAAAAAGACTGCCTTAAAACTCAAGTCTCTTTGTGGAACTAGAAAATGAGTATTCACAATATTTAAACAGCAAACATAAAAACTAATGTCTAAAGCCCACTAAAGTTTCATGATGGGAAAGTGACCTAAAATTTTCAGCTAAAATAGTAAAAATCACAAATGGACAGTTTCATTTTCAAAGATAGAAAAGCCCAATAATCACAAAACCGAGGGGTATAGTTCTCCATTGTGTGAATGTTGACCTTAATACTGTAAAAAACATGGTTTTAATCTTTCTAAAGTTTCACAAAGCTTACTCAGAGTACCACCTAAGTTTCTCCAGACACAGAAAGAAAAT